CCCCTATTCCAAAGGCGAGCCTCGGTGGCGTTGGCGGACCTACTAAGTTGGTATCCGGAGCCGCTTGATGTCTGGTGCGACTTGCAGTGTTGGCGGACCACTGCTCTTCACCACCGAGGTCTTGCCTTCCCCATTGATCCCATCACCCCTCATGACTCTAAGCTTTTGCAATTGGTAGTTTTCTGAATTCTTACACACATTATCGGAAATTGCTGTATAATGTAGTGCTTTGCATTGTGTTGTGTTATTACCGATAATAAATGATAAAATAAGAACAGTGAAACCATAAACAAAACAAGATTCATCTCCTAAATTAGTGCCTACAATAATTAAGATTCTGTTAATTTAGCCAAAGCTCGATAAGAAATCGTCGCTGATCTTGGGATTGCATGAAATATTCGAAGATGATGAAGATGACAATAAGGACGGAGAGAATAATGAGAATAACGTGAGTCTTCAACAAGCTAATTAGGCACAAAATTAAATCCAAGTACAAGAAGTGGGCTGGAAGTTCAGAAGAAAAAAAAACTAGCATCTCAGGAAGATAATCACATTCGGCGATCACCTCTCTCGTTATCGCCAGCATTTGCCGAATCACTAAAGAGTAACGCCGAAGTGAGGGAAGCCTTGGAAAAAATCAAATATCGGTTAGCGATTCATTAACATTTCTCATCCAGCGGTGTAAACCGCTCTTTAAGGATCGCCAGCAGTCCTCCCACACATTACGAATGATAAATTAAAGTGCTTCGCTATTTCCTCAGCCAAGAAGATTAGGTTCAAAAGGTCAAATATAACTCACCATGCCAAAAGTTAAAGCAACACCCCGGGAGGAACCAACTTGAAGAATCATTCCTAGGGTGAGATAGGGTAGCCCACGTGTAGCACAGATGTGCCGTTGCCGCGCACTTTTGAGACGCGACAAGTAAGGTTCTTACAAAGCCGCTGGCCGCTAGTTCTGGCCGCTGGACGAGTCTCGTGGCTGCCTGTCCTTGCGCGATTGCGTAGTCCCTG